ATTTGTATCGACAAATATCGTTTTATAGTTATAAAGTTACATATTATCTATTAATTGTTTTAGTATTTGTGATTAATTTGTATTGATTTATTATTTGTGACTTATAAATTAGTAACCATTATATTACCGTCTAAAAATTATTGTCAAAAATTAATTTTATGAAGGAGTAGGTTTTCAGTGGATGCGAATTTGTATATTCATTCATTGCTTGTTTAATTTGTTTTTTGTGTTTAATTTACGATTATTTGTATTTGAGATTCTGCGATTAAATTTATTTTGTTGATTGTAATGTTGTGATATTGCATAATTTATTGTAAATATAATATATGTAGTATTGCTGTTCCACTACTACAGAAATAATCCCGATAACACTCGACCTCTGCCTGATCCAGAGGATATCACCATTTTACCTTCACACAGACATCGAACGCTGTACGAAGATGACGATCAGACCTCATTAAATATAATATATGTTTCAGAATTATGTGATGTAACGCGATGTAAGTATTTTAAGCGGGCATATCCTGTCCAAACCCAGGATGCACGACATAAGGAATTTGTTTTAACTTGTTTGTATGAAAAGCATTAAAGGACCAGTTAACTGAAAAAAAAGTTATCGTCATGTAGTAGTAGTAGTAAGTAGTAGTAAACCCGCGATGGGGTGGCATGTGCCTCAATAAAAATATTACAATCATTTATTATTATATCAATTTATCGTTAAATATTTCAAAAATATCAATAACGTATGGTTGATCCTTCACACTTGGTAAAATATATAAAAATAAAGTTAATCTACACTAAAGAATAAATAATCTATATTATATAAATCAACAATATTAACTCCCCATCTTCTTGTAGTCATTTATCAAAGCGGTAGAAATCCAAGTAATTTTAGTACGCGGTGCGCAAGGAATTTCGTTTAAAAAATGTGTGGCAGTGAAAATTGAAAAATAAGTTGCAGAATAAATTGCAGTGACTGACTGTCAAATGCATTATCGCAGTTCATTTATTTGACTGCACTAACGTTTAGGATTCTTACAGCTGTTATATTTTGCTAATATTTTGTTTAAAAGTTGTAAAGGACAAAGTTCTTGTCCGTCCACGAAAGGTTTTCTAGGTCAAGTTTTTGTTTGTCCTGTAAGTAACGTACAATGTTGTCCTTGTATGAATTAATAAACTTATCTTGTAACTTAGGTACGTTGAAGGGAAGGATTTTATTTATTTCGTTTATCGTGTTGTTATATAATCGTGGTCCTACGTTAGAGATGCTATAATCGGTGATCCGTAATCTGTTGAACTTAATTTCAAAATACTTTGGATTTCTCCTTTCCGTTTGTCTAAGCGGTGATTTTTCAAATATACTACAGATACTCGATGGTGCTACTCCCATATAAACCTTGTGCATCAAAGTTAGACAGCTTTTAGCAATGAGATTAGGAAGAGCTAAAATTCCTATTTTGTTGAAGATGGATTTTGTGTGAGATGGTAGTTTACGTTTTTCTTTGTCGTAAAAATAGTTATGATATTCTGAATCAGTGGCGCGAATAGCTTTCTTTTGAGCAGAGAATAAAGACTGAATGGAATTTAAAGATTTAGTACCCCAAACAGTAGCGCAGTAATACAGGTGAGATTGAATTAAACTATTGTATAGCATTTTTTGAGCTTTATTCGGAATGGAACTTTTAAGTTTCATCATTACGCCTGCATTTCTGGATATTTTAGTCTTTAACTGTTTAATGTGCTGGCTCCAGCTAAGTTTTGAGTCAATAATGACACCTAAAAATCGTTCATGTTCACTTTTCACTAGTCGCTGTCCTTCTATACTAATATTTATATCCTCTGGTAATCTGTTAGTGAATATCATGTATTTAGTTTTTCCTACATTAAGTTTAAGACCGTTGTTTTTAACCCATGTCTGTACAGTATTTAAAACTCTGTTTGCACGCATGTTCAGTTCAGTGTACGTGTCGGCAGAAACGATGATGTTTGCATCATCAGCGAAGAAAATATAATGGGCTATATCGCTTACATTTGCAAGGTCGTTTATGTAAATAATGAACAATATAGGACCAAGAATGGACCCTTGAGGAACTCCATGTTCCAATCCCATTTTTTCTGAACTGCAACCGTTGACGTGAACATACTGTTTCCGGTTAGTTAGATAAGACTCCAACCAGGATAAGCTAAGGCCTCTTACACCATAGTGCTCCATCTTATGTAGCAGTATCTCACTGTCTACTAGGTCAAACGCCTTGGAGAAGTCAAGAAGCAGTAATGCTGACACTTGCTTCCTTTCATATTTTGACAGATTGTGACAAATAGCAAACTAAGCAACGAGTCGAAATTCCTAAATCTCTAACTGCTCTCTAACGCGTGTAAATAGCGTTTGTATTATTTTGGCGATGACGTCCCTCTTGCGCGCAGAGTAGCTCGTGAGACTGTATTTTACAGGTAAAAAATGAACATAATACAATCTTTTCCCCCGAATAACTCGAAAAGTAAGTAATTTAGGGTACATGTTGCTTCATAAGTTGTATATAAACATGGCCATTCTGCACAATTTGCACACATTCGAAAACCTTTAGGGCCTTCATAGCCCAATTAACCAGATACCCATAGTTTTGCATGATTTCTGGAACCGAAAATCAGTTTTTCGCCAATAACTGAAAAAGTAAGCACTTTAAGGCATATGTTTGTTCGTAAGTCATATATTAATATGCTAATTGCGGTTCTTTTGCATCCTGTCTGAAGACTCCATCACGATCATATCGAAAATGGGCTTAGCACCACGCCCAAAATGGTTTTTGGCGAATTTATCGAAAAGTAAGGATTTTAGGCCATGTGTTGCTCAATAACTCCTATATAAACATGCATATGCGGCTTCGTTCAAGCCTATTTTGAAGTCTCTACGACCTTCAGAAGCAAGGGGTCGGTTACGTTATTGGGTCAATATGGGCGTGGCCCTCCTGGGTTTTCTCCACGGTCAAAAAAATGTCTCCAAACGAAAATCGTTTCATCATAACTTCGGGAAGGTCTGTGCAAAGTTTCGTGAGTATTAGAACATTTGCAGGTTCATTTCCATAAATGTCCATAAATGACTGGACTACACAACTTTAGAGTTAACTTTAGAGAAACTCATAAGTCATTTATCTCAAATTAAGCTGTTAGTGTCCATGATCAACCTCTGGCGACAATGTTTTGCGTGAAATGTAAAAATCAGGAGTAATATAAAAAAGGTATTTTTAGATTAAAGTGCTAGCTCATAGTTTTAGAATTGTATAGATTAACGTTGGTCATTTAGCCATCTAACAATCGATCGTGCCGTAATATATGGCCAGAGAATAATAGGGTCTTGCCCTACAAAAAATCTAAGACAGCTAGCGCGCTCTAGCTGTCTTAGGAGGCAATTTCTAAGACAGCTAGAAATGAGGGTTGATGCGCGCTAGCTGTCGTAGGTAGCTGTCTTAAAAAACTGAGCTAGCTACGACAGCTAGCAATGACAGTTTAACCCCCATTATAATGAGGGTTTATAGATTTTGCGTCGCGCAAATAATGCCACGTAAATTGTTGTCATTATCACGTTTATTTATAAAATACAGGTTCGGTTTCCGCGCGCAGAGAATTAATCCGAAATTTTGGCCTAGTTTTCGAAAAAAATTTGTCAATTTTTAAGGCCCGATATCCTTTATTTTGTTTATAAACTGAGTTGAATTTGCTTTGGTATGATAGGTGGCATATGAACTAACCTTTCCAGCCAGTTTTGAATGATTCTAGGTCTCTTTGCCTAACTGGACTAGCGCCTAAATCCATGAATTAGGCCATAAGACCAGTTAGTTCAGGCGACCGTTTGGGGTCTAATACTACTTTAAATTGAAGTTTAACAGACCAACAGTCCACCTTTAGTCGCTTGGCCTAACTGGACTGACGGGCTACAGTGTGATGAGACCCGTACGTGCACCGTTTTACTCACCATGAGCTGACAAAGCATGCTATATGAGCCCGATGACGTGCTTCGACGAGTAAGTGGCCATGCTGACGTGATCCATGCCTATATCTCTCATCAATAAAGAGCTCGTTAGCTCACACATACACAAGGGAATCAGCTGTTTTCAGGGGGATCACCAATATTTCTGGACGCTGCGCTGGATCCAAAAGGACCCTTTCCTCAACGGCTATATACTTATATAATATGTACTTGACTAATTAATTTGGTCCATGTCATCGAGCTAGGATATAGCATGCCCTGTCAGCTCATGTTAAGAGCAATACAGTGCACTTACGGGTCACATCACTCATGCAGTTAGGCCAGGTGACCTCAAGTAGACTATCGGCCTAAAATCTGCCCTAAGTTAGGAATAGGCCATCCGTCCGTTTGTTCAGTATACTATTACTTGTTAGGCCATTAGTCAAGTTAGGCCAAGCGTCCAGTTAAGCCAACAGACCCGGTACCCTCTCTACCATGCCAGATCGATTACAAGTCAGCCCTGGCATACCTATTGCCTCAAATTTCTGTCCCAAATTTGTCTCAATGTGCCAAAATCCGGGATTCATGAGTGCGGCAAAAATTGCGACAGAAAGTGGCCGCCAGTCACCGTTGAAATAGTAACACGGTTTCAAATACCTGACTGCATGAATTATACTTCTTTTTGTAAATCAGATACAAGCCACTTTCCATCTATTCATTACTTCCGATACAGTTACCCAAATGATGGAATACAAATTAAAATAACAATCAAATTATATGAAATAATATGAGGGCATTTAAGTTTCAACCAATCCGACAACCAACTATGCTGTCATAATCAGTTTCTGTATTATATGCCATGATTTGAGGATATAGTGTAAAAACCAATCCGAGGCCGATGATAATAATACGACATTCTTGCTCGTTGCGAAGCTAATTTTCAGTCTTTTGATATTTTGTAATGCTTTAACGAAAACGCTTTTATATTTCAATTTTCAAAGTGAATGTTATTTATAAAGAAGTACACAGAAGTTCCGAATCTCAAAATGTCAAACTTTAAATATTATACGTTCTGCAGATATCGCCAGTCTTGTAATTGGCTCTTAAAAATTGACTGATATTCAAAATATCCAATATAATGTAACTCATTTTTTGTTTTTAAATAATAGTCCTTTTATCCTAATAACACAATTTCAGCTGTCGTCGGCGACCATTTGTTCAGAAGATAATCACGTTTCTTGGCTGCCACTCTTTGTAACTTCGTAACCTGGATAAAAAGGTGGATTAATTGTGGTTTATCTGATTCTGTTCTATCCGCGATTGTTTTATATCAAGACAAGGTGGACACTGAGGTTGATCCAGCGACCAATCAAATATGGAGGGCAAGAGCCAAGAGGAAGCAAATGTAAGTAATATTGACAAACCAGTTGTGTCGCTGTCCAGTGTCTTTGCTGCGTGGATTTATCTTGTCGACACAGCGGTTCGTGTCAAATTGACCACATTTGTGAACGCTGAGGAAGGGAATTCGGATTACAAATTTATAATAGGGGAAGTACGGCTCTTTATAAAGATATGATTTAGTAAAAGTAATTGCTGAATCATTAACACAATGAAAATGTGCATTGTATTGTAGATTGTATTTAACTGCAGTCAATGAATAAAAAAGTCTGGTTCGTAGCTGAAACTTTTTCCGCCACAGTAAATGTTTTTAAATCGGATAGAATATTTAAAGGGGAAGCCAAGGGGTATTTTTGGGTACTTTGGGGGATTTCATTCTGGGGGATTTCGAAGGCGTTCATAGGCTATCGCTATCCATTATCGGTATGAAATCTTTTATCTAGATAAACAGATAAAGATTTAGGTTTTATCTAGACAAAACCGATCATTTTTCTGCTGAAGGCTAAAGCCAAAATGTTATCCAAATTTCATAAAAAACTAATTGTCGACTTTAAACATTGTTTTACCAGTAATCTTGGCAAATAAAAGTACCACTTCCTTTCTTTTGAAAATAGTAAAGCACCAGTTTTCTTCTCCTAAGAAAAGTAGTGCACCATGACCATTTCTCCTCAAAACAATAGACCAACGGTTTCCTTCTCCCGAGAACATGAACAGTAGTGCACCAGTTCTCTTCAAAATAGTAGACCAACGGTTTCCTTCTCCCGAGAACAGTAGTGCACCAGTTCTCTTCAAAACAGTTAAGCATTAAATAATTCAGTAAACCGTTTCCTTATCCTGTGGATAACTTGGAGCAACAGATTCCTTCTCCTGGGAACAATGTTTCACGCCCAGAACACTTACGGAATACAATTGAGTGCCCTGCCGGTATTTTTGACTCTCGTTAACAGTAACATGCTCGTGCCCATGCCCGTCTCCAGAATGGTTACAAAGGTAAAACGCCAGCACCCTCAAGAGAACAATACCAATAACCTTCTCTGGATTTCTACAGTTCATACAGTTCTACAGTTCCATAGGTATACAAATGTAAATAAAGCCTCTTAAGCACACATCCAAGTAAAATGACATCCAAGGAATGACATAAAGATCTCTTCTCTGTGGGGTAGTCAAACAATATGATGACCCTATTAAAGCTGAACGAATAACAACATAGTTGAAGGAATTACAACATGAGTTGGGTAGGGCAAAATGTCAAAGTTACACCCCTCTCATCCTGAGCTGTATTTTACTAAACTAACAGTCACACCCTGCTCCTGTTACACTAAGCTAACAGTTACACCCCGGCCCCTGTGTTACAATAAGCTAACAGTAACACCCCGCCCCCTTTGTAACACTAAGCTAACAGTTACATCCTGCCCCCTGTGTTATACCAAGCTAACAGTTATCAGGTGTGCGCAGGATTTTTGAAAGGGCAAAGCGCCGGCTCTGAGGTTACCGTTGCGAGCAGCCCCCGGAAAATTGTTCGACTGGATTATATACTAAACCAATAGGATATCAATACAGAAGGTTCAAAGCAGCAGTTGATTAGACAATTTGTTATTAGTAATATTTTGAATTTAAAACATTGGACAAATTAAAATTAAAGATAGCACGAGTTTTAAGTTATTCTGGATATCTCCAGTCTGAAAAGATGCCGTATGGCTTAGCGTACGCTTTTTGGTACTGGATCGTGATGTCCCATGATTCTGAAATAATGATGTTTTTTGACCCTTCTGATTAAGACTGAGGCTGATCCTCAGTGCTTTCCAATTATATTAATCTGCCTATCTCAAATCTCTTTTGAGCCTCATCATACCCACTCAACTATGAGGATTGGCTTCCTAGATTTAGGAGCAGCCAACCCATGGAAATTATATATGCACAAGGCATGTGTATCGACCTAATTAATTCGAACCTACTATATTCGTTTAAAAATAAAACTTTTGCATCATGTCATTAACGCAAATGTTTGTGAAAATGTTTATAAAATTGTTTATAAAATTATTTTGTTGCTCTGTAGAAGGCAATTAAAAAAAATTCTGGGTCAGCATTTCAAAAAGAGCCAGGGGCGGGGGCCGGCGCGGGGGGCGATCGCCTACATCGCCACCCGCCTGCGAACCAGGCCTCCCACCCTCAAATTCCCTAAAATTCTAGGTTTTAAAGGTGGTTTTCTTGGTTTTCAAACCCTTAATTCAAGGTTTTCAGATAGCCATTTTCAAGGTTTTCAAGGTTTTTTAAGACGAATATGTATGTTTGCACTACGAAAACTTGTTAATTTTATCTATTTTCTCAAAACTAATGAATGAAATAATATAACCTGGACTAGGTTAGGATTGCTCAAAACATAAATGAGGGGACTGGTGGGGCAAAGGATATGATTTTAAGCAAGAAAACTGCCGGAGGCGAAATTTATAGTTGAAATTCAAGGTTTTCAAGCGTTTTTGTGAAAATCCAAGGTTTGCAAGGTTTTTGATTCAAAATATCAGAAATCAAGGTTCTCAAGGGTTTCAAGGTTGGCTGCTGCACACGCCCATGACAGTTACACCCCGGCATCTATGTTACAGTTAGCTAACAGTTTCACCCCGGCCCCTGTGTTTCAGATAGCTGTATGCAATGTCTCTCAAAATTGATTTTATAGCTGTTCCTGATAGAATGATATCTATCAGGAGCTCCCATGGAAAATATTGTTCCTAGCCAAAGTTGCCCCATAAAGTTATCAGCTTTTCAAATAAAATAATCAAAAAAAGGCCTATTTTAAAATTTTGATGAGACATAATTTTTCTAAATGGTCCTTAGAACATATCCTGAAAGTTTCAAGGTGATTGCTCAAAAAATGTAGGAGAAGATGGAATTTTAGTTTTCAAGGCGCGCTATTGAAAACCGCTTGCGCAATACAATTACATGTAATGAGCGATGACCTTTGACCGGTCATACCCTTGACTAGGAACAATAATTTTCCTTAGCAGCAATGATTCTAAACATTTCAATGCTCACGTTTGACTAATTAAGCTAATGATTGATCTGAAAAGAAACATATTGTATAAAGTAAAGTCACTGGTAATTTGAACAGCTAAGAGCGTAAAAATGGGGTTTGGCTAATTAACTCAACAACCAGAAGCCTGAGGACTTAAAAACCAAGCTCTACCCCACTAATAATCTGAATTTTGAACATCCAGTTACCCAAGTTTAGATTATATTCCTAACTATAATCAGCAGTAGAGTTATTTTCATTTTCTCTATTATCACCACAGGCTAGAGCATAATTTAAGTAGGTTTTGGTCTATTAAATCGACAGCCCAGCATGATGCCTGAGGAAGTTTAACCTAGGCTTTACCCCACTTAATATGATCATTTTACTACTCAATTTAAGCCCCTAACTTCAATCAGAAACCGAGTCATTTTGATTTTAAGTGCAGTGGTCGCAACATGCATCAAACTGCAGCATAATTTTGGGTAATTATGAGGACCTTTTTCACAGATGATTTCCAATGCCCATTAAGGCATTCCCAATAATACCCCTTGGCTTCCCCCATAGTTCTAACCATATAATGGCCAAACCATATGTTCTAACATAATTATTTTAATGACAAACCTTAGTTGATTTCATCTTTCAATCCGAATTGAAGCTTGACAGGATATTCCGCCTTTTTTCTGCTGCTGAAATTCTTGTCTACTCCTTCGAAGTTGCAAAGCGTGTATATGTCACTTTGTGTCTAAAGTTCCTGGTCCCTGAAGGATTTTGATTGAGCAGCAGTTAAATACGAATTTTTTAGAATCTAAAGTCCAAATGTATTCACAGATAATTAAGAAAACAGAATTACAAGTAAAAAGCAGTTATTTAGACCTTTATGAAGCTGTGAATGTTGTGCAATACATCTTTGTGATGTTCTTATCATAATCTCCATTCTAACACTCCTCAGCATATCAACTCTTTCAACCTGAACAGAAATGTAAAATAAAAAGCTTTTTCGTGGCACACCTGTGCATTTTGAGTTTTGTGCCACAATATTATAAAAGTTAAAATTATTATTTATATTTCATATGTAACAATCAAAGCGAGATATTACTTTTAGGTAATTAGTGGTTATCCTCCCAAAAGGATTCTCACCAGTATATAATTTGAATAATCAAATTGAATAATCAAATCTGAAATCAAACAACAAAATACCTTTCTTTTACAGAGCAAATGTGTGACTTTCGTGGTGAATCATATGAAAACTTTCCCGAGTCTGCTATCCTTGTTACCAACTGATCATATCATAGCATAGACAACCGTATGAAACATCCTAGATTATTGTAGTTTGAGAAGTCAAAACATGAATAATTAGCTCACACCTCTGAAGAGGCAATGAAGGAATAAGAATATCACGCATCGAATGGACCAAAGTGCATCAACTTTATATCAAAAGTGTATCAAAGTATCAACTTACTGCCACAAGAATACCACTGCAAACGATACAGTAGTTCTTTACAAAAAAATTCGTTTTTCGATAGAAGGTAATTCTTGGCAGACGACATTGCAAAACTAGACAAGAAAACCAAAACTTTCATGATAACTACTATTTACTGGCCAGTCTGAACTAACAAAATAGTCTGAACTAACAAAATAAACCTCGCTGGTCGATTAGGAGGATGAGAGAGACAACAATAACATGCACCTGAGAAAACAGCAGGTTTGTGGCAGGTAAAATGAGTGGCGAGAAGGTTAGCGCTCGATTCATAGGTGATTTTAAATTATATTATAGTTGGTGAGCCGCGCGCCAAATGAAAAAAAAAATGAAAAATAGTTCATATTCATAAATCATGAATATTAAATATGAATTGCAAATTGAATTGTATTCATTTTTAAGAATATTAAAATTCAAATAAATAAACAACAATATTATTTTTAATAAATGCAACTGCATACTGCAGCATGGCTCATCGTTTATTTTGCCTTTTTTCAATTTTTATATTATATCATATAATATTGCTAAACAATTTAAACGGAGCTGTCACATGTCAATTTTTTCAAGCAAAATTGAAAACTCTCAAAATCAACCCCGCTAGTTTAAGAAAAGTTTATAGTTGTCATTGAAATGATTTTGCTATCAAACATTTTTTATATGATTATATTGCAAGCCATGCCATTTTAAAATAATATTATCTGAGCCACACGAAAACAAATGTACAAGCTGAGTTTAGTTAATTCGAAAACGAATTCGGCAATTATTTTTTCATTTTACAAAATCATTGTTAATTCATTTCATACAATTACTTTTATGTTTTTTAAATATAAATGTAATGTGGATTAATATATTATTTTAGATTTGCTAAATTATTTTTCATTTTTGGCACTATGTTTATGTGATTTTTATTATGTCTGTCAACTTCCTAAACAATAGGGGGGGGGGGGGGGGGGGGGGCTTATTTTAGATTAAAAATTTCGAATTTATCTTGAATGACCGCCGCGAAAAATTGTTTAGCCTTTAAATTTATTTTAAGTTAATAAAGTAAGCTGCAGGCTCAAAAATCAAAAGTTTAGTTTAGATGATTTTAAAATGATTTCCGTTGTACTTGGGTTAAGTACAAATTTTGATTTGTTTGTTTAATTTTATTTCTAATACTCTGTGACAGTATTTGGTATTTTCAAATGACTTATGAATATAACTAAATTTAGATTTTGGATTTATCATTTATGAAATTTTTTTTCATTTGGCGCGCGGCTCACCAACTATAATATAATTTAAAATCACCTATGAATCGAGCGCTAACCTTCTCGCCACTCATTATACCTGCCACAAACCTGCTGTTTTCTCAGGTGCATGTTATTGTTGTCTCTCTCATCCTCCTAATCGACCGGCGAGGTTTATTTTGTTAGTTCAGACTATTTTGTTAGTTCAGACTGGCCAGTAAATAGTAGTTATCATGAAAGTTTTGGTTTTCTTGTCTAGTTTTGCAATGTCGTCTGCCAAGAATTACCTTCTATCTAAAAACGAATTTTTTTGTAAAGAACTACTGTATCGTTTGCAGTGGTATTCTTGTGGCAGTAAGTTGATACTTTGATACACTTTTGATATAAAGTTGATGCACTTTGGTCCATTCGATGCGTGATATTCTTATTCCTTCATTGCCTCTTCAGAGGTGTGAGCTAATTATTCATGTTTTGACTTCTCAAACTACAATAATCTAGGATGTTTCATACGGTTGTCTATGCTATGATATGATCAGTTGGTAACAAGGATAGCAGACTCGGGAAAGTTTTCATATGATTCACCACGAAAGTCACACATTTGCTCTGTAAAAGAAAGGTATTTTGTTGTTTGATTTCAGATTTGATTATTCAATTTGATTATTCAAATTATATACTGGTGAGAATCCTTTTGGGAGGATAACCACTAATTACCTAAAAGTAATATCTCGCTTTGATTGTTACATATGAAATATAAATAATAATTTTAACTTTTATAATATCGTGGCACAAAACTCAAAATGCACAGGTGTGCCACGAAAAAGCTTTTTATTTTACATTTCTGTTCAGGTTGAAAGAGTTGATATGCTGAGGAGTGTTAGAATGGAGATTATGATAAGAACATCACAAAGATGTATTGCACAACATTCACAGCTTCATAAAGGTCTAAATAACTGCTTTTTACTTGTAATTCTGTTTTCTTAATTATCTGTGAACACAGTGGGCTGTGAGTGGGGGTCATGCTAGCATAGGGTATTTTAGACCATCACGCATGCCCCTAACTTTGTTTATTAGGTAATTTGGGTACAAAAATACGATTCCAATCATTTACAGGGCCGAAAATGTCTCAGAAAAATTTTTGGGCCGATTTTGAGCAATCTTGTAGTCCAAAAATAGGAGGCTGATCCCAGGAAAAGTTGTTTTTTTAGAGGTTTAATCAATTTTAAAGCTCTTTTATGAACTGTAAACAAAGGACAGCTATCTTAGGAACTCGAATCTTTTTTAATTATGAAAAAATATTGATCAGAACAAAAGTTGTGCCCATTTATATGACCAAAATTTTCTGAAACACCAAAATTGTTCCTGTTATTTTCAAAAATTTCGTTTAAAATCACGATTTTTTGGATTTTTATCAATTTTAACTATAATAATTGTGATATTTTGATTTTTCATCCATATGCATCTGGTCTAGGATGCAAAAAATGCCACAAACATGGAGAATAACTAAAATATGTCAATTTAATAGCAAAATTGAGCTCATAAATTATCTAAAAATGCAGCAAATTTTACCCAATTTTTGAGTTTCTTAATTTTGTAAACAGAGTTGCCCAAAGTTGCCCAAAGTGATTCTTATTGCATCTGATAGGGAATTGTCTAAGCTTTCTGATGATACCATGCATTATACCGAACTATTGCAAACCAACAACGATTTCTGTCGTTAAATACCCCAAAAATTGCCTAAAATACACGCCATAAAAAAGGCGCGGTCAAAAATCAGGTGAAAATGTTAAAGTCACACAGTTTTTTTTAGATGGCTGAGTATTCTTAAGTACTATACTATATTTCAATTATTAAAAACTGCCTTGATCAGGCATTTTAGCCCAAAATAATAAATATTAGGCAATTTTAGGCTAAAAAAGGCAAAATTTCTTGACAGTGAAAAATGCTATTTTTTCACGCGACGACATTATGGCATCTTGCAAAGTTTTTAATTACGGTTTCTTGCATGAAATCGGGCTAGCGTTTTACAATAAGGAAAGCTTATTTTCAAAGAAATTTAAGAAAGTCGATTTTAGGCCTATGCTAGCATGGTAGCCCACTGTGGTGAATACATTTGGACTTTAGATTCTAAAAAATTCGTATTTAACTGCTGCTCAATCAAAATCCTTCAGGGACCAGGAACTTTAGACACAAAGTGACATATACACGCTTTGCAACTTCGAAGGAGTAGACAAGAATTTCAGCAGCAGAAAAAAGGCGGAATATCCTGTCAAGCTTCAATTCGGATTGAAAGATGAAATCAACTAAGGTTTGTCATTAAAATAATTATGTTAGAACATATGGTTTGGCCATTATATGGTTAGAACTATGGGGGAAGCCAAGGGGTATTATTGGGAATGCCTTAATGGGCATTGGAAATCATCTGTGAAAAAGGTCCTCATAATTACCCAAAATTATGCTGCAGTTTGATGCATGTTGCGACCACTGCACTTAAAATCAAAATGACTCGGTTTCTGATTGAAGTTAGGGGCTTAAATTGAGTAGTAAAATGATCATTCATATTAAGTGGGGTAAAGCCTAGGTTAAACTTCCTCAGGCATCATGCTGGGCTGTCGATTTAATAGACCAAAACCTACTTAAATTATGCTCTAGCCTGTGGTGATAATAGAGAAAATGAAAATAACTCTACTGCTGATTATAGTTAGGAATATAATCTAAACTTGGGTAACTGGATGTTCAAAATTCAGATTATTAGTGGGGTAGAGCTTGGTTTTTAAGTCCTCAGGCTTCTGGTTGTTGAGTTAATTAGCCAAACCCCATTTTTACGCTCTTAGCTGTTCAAATTACCAGTGACTTTACTTTATACAATATGTTTCTTTTCAGATCAATCATTAGCTTAATTAGTCAAACGTGAGCATTGAAATGTTTAGAATCATTGCTGCTAAGGAAAATTATTGTTCCTAGTCAAGGGTATGACCGGTCAAAGGTCATCGCTCATTACATGTAATTGTATTGCGCAAGCGGTTTTCAATAGCGCGCCTTGAAAACTAAAATTCCATCTTCTCCTACATTTTTTGAGCAATCACCTTGAAACTTTCAGGATATGTTCTAAGGACCATTTAGAAAAATTATGTCTCATCAAAATTTTAAAATAGGCCTTTTTTTGATTATTTTATTTGAAAAGCTGATAACTTTATGGGGCAACTTTGGCTAGGAACAATATTTTCCATGGGAGCTTCTGATAGATATCATTCTATCAGGAACAGCTATAAAATCAATTTTGAGAGACATTGCATACAGCTATCTGAAACACAGGGGCCGGGGTGAAACTGTTAGCTAACTGTAACATAGATGCTGGGGTGTAACTGTCATGGGCGTGTGCAGCAGCCAACCTTGAAACCCTTGAGAACCTTGATTTCTGATATTTTGAATCAAAAACCTTGCAAACCTTGGATTTTCACAAAAACGCTTGAAAACCTTGAATTTCAACTATAAATTTCGCCTCCGGCAGTTTTCTTGCTTAAAATCATATCCTTTGCCCCACCAGTCCCCTCATTTATGTTTTGAGCAATCCTAACCTAGTCCAGGTTATATTATTTCATTCATTAGTTTTGAGAAAATAGATAAAATTAACAAGTTTTCGTAGTGCAAACATACATATTCGTCTTAAAAAACCTTGAAAACCTTGAAAATGGCTATCTGAAAACCTTGAATTAAGGGTTTGAAAACCAAGAAAACCACCTTTAAAACCTAGAATTTTAGGGAATTTGAGGGTGGGAGGCCTGGTTCGCAGGCGGGTGGCGATGTAGGCGATCGCCCCCCGCGCCGGCCCCCGCCCCTGGCTCTTTTTGAAATGCTGACCCAGAATTTTTTTTAATTGCCTTCTACAGAGCAACAAAATAATTTTATAAACAATTTTATAAACATTTTCACAAACATTTGCGTTAATGACATGATGCAAAAGTTTTATTTTTAAACGAATATAGTAGGTTCGAA